AAAATAAAGACTTGGCCAGCTGTGGTGGCTCACACCTGCAATCCCAACACTTTGGGAGGCTGAGGTGGGAGGATCACTTGAGCCCAGGAGTTCAAGGCTGCAGTCAGCTATAATCGGGTCATTGTACTCCAGCCTGGCAATAGAGTGAGACCCCATCTCTTAAAAAAAAAAATCTATATTCAGTGGTTTTTAGTCTCAAAATGTTTTGTCTTAATTTCATTCTCTTCTTTTAATTGTACCCCACTGTAAAGGTATAAATTCATGTTCACATTGGAGAAACCTAGGAAAAATGAAAGTATGAAGAAGAAACAAAAATCACCCATAACCTCACTTTCTAGTAATATCAGCTGGAAATTTATTTTTTTTTAAATTTGAGACAGAGTCTCACTGTGTCGTCCTGGCTAGAGGGCAGTGGCATCATCACTGCTCACTGCAACCTCAAACTCTTGGGCTCAAGCAATCCTCCTGCCTCAGCCTCCTGAGTAGCTGGAACTATAGGCATGCACCACCACTATGCCCAGCTAATTTTTTCCATTTTTGGTAGAGATGGTGTCTCGCTCTTGCTCAGCTCAGCCTCAAACTCCTGACCTGAAGCTATCCTCCAGCCTCGGCTTCCCAGACAGAGTGCTAGGATTACAGGCGTGAGCCACTGCACCCAGCCTATTGTAAATATTTTGGTGACTTCTTTTTCAGTCTTTTTAAATCCCTGTTAGTATGATGAGGCACTGTTTGTTCATTGTGCTGGTAAGTGAGGGGTTAAGTATGAGCCTTCTTTTTTCAGCATAAACACTATCCTGGAGTTTTTGCCAAAGCAGAGGCGAACGGGCCTTTTCTCTGCCACTCAGACGCAGGAGGTGGAGAACCTGGTGAGAGCAGGCCTCCGGAACCCTGTCCGGGTCTCAGTGAAGGAGAAGGGTGTGGCAGCCAGCAGCACCCAGAAGACCCCGTCCCGCCTGGAGAACTACTACATGGTGCGCACCTGGGCTTGCTTCTTGCTCAGTCCTGTGGTTCAGTAGTCATGGCACGTGCTCTCGGGATTCACTTGCAGTTTATAGGAAAGTGAAGTTATGTAATGAGATCC